CAGAGAGAGAGGGACACAGAGAGAAGAGAGAGAGAGAGAGAGAGAGACAGACACACACACAGAGAGAGACAGAGACCAAGAAAAGACAGAGAGAGAGACCAAGAAAATACAGAGAGAGAAAGAAATAGAGAGAGAGAGACCGACAGAGAAAGAGTGTGAGAGTTAAAGAGAGAGAAAATGTGGAGTGCAAGAATCTAGCTATACTTGTTTCACCAGGCAGATATTAACAAATGCTTCAACCCTACACTGCAAAGAACAAAATTTCATTTTTCAAAATCTTTCTATTGAACATAAACATTACTTTGTGAAAATGTGACCCAGCCCAATAATACAGAGCTACAGTCACCACCACCCTTCTCTGTTTGTCTGGGCTGAGTAATGGGCACATTTAGCCACAGTACAAAGAACTTAACACGTCCAACAAAACAGACACGTTTGGTTATGTGTACAATATGGGCACAACATTTCACATTATACATATTTTGGGGTTAATCTGCTGACCGGGGAATTGTGTGGATAGGACCAACAATACTACTGGCCTGTATATAGCAAACCCACTCAGATACAAAAAGTCAGCCATTCCTTTGTCTACCCGGCCTGTACACCCTCCAGACTACTTTATATACAAAAACATACTCACTCAACTTTACAACTGTGGTCCTGTTATCCTGTGGATCCTGTGGTCCTGTTATCTGATCAATGGGTATGTGAATTTTCCTTAGCTGGTATATCACAAGTAGAGACTCAGATCTTGATCTCATGGATAGAAAGGGCCTATACCACCTTTACCCAAAGGCAAAGATAAAACCATCTTTCTACAATGAGAACCAACATTCACCAAGAATAAACAAACACTAAAATGTCTAGGGAAACACCTTGTGTTTTCTTACCCCTATATTGCGGAGTTGGTCTAACCAGTATGTTGATTATCCACCAGTGGGACGCAGGTGTTTACTTTTGAATGCCTGACGATTTTCTTTTTTTTTGTATATTTTCCGTTCTGCATATTCAGTTATTTGAAAATTATATACTCCTTTATACGGGACCAATGTGTTTATACTTCCTGTTTATTGGTACCCGTGGGGACCATAGCTATTTGATCATAGTTGGGAGGATTCTAATTAATGTGGGTGGCCACGCATTTCACACCGGTGTTTTGGTTTATATTTAGTTTTTAGAGTATATAAAGGGTCTTTGTATACCTTCCACAACATGCTCTCTTGATAAAGGCAATTTTGATGAAATGTTGGGGGCAATGCTGACTATCTCCCTCTTCTCACTACCTCTGTTGTCCTATTTTTATGGTATGTATTTTCATGTTGGTAAGGTTTCTTTTAATGTATCAATGTGAACTCTATTCTATGGATAGCATTGCTGTAATTATTTTTCTGTTTGTGTGAATACACGTGATCTATATACACTTTGTATTTTTTGCATGGATTGCTACTTTGATATTCTTGTTAATGTTTTCGGTACCATTTTGGGATACCTGACACTTTGGACCTAATTAATAAAGTGTTTTTCCTTCTTATGGTTGTGCTACTCATTTGGTATGATTTGTAAATTGCTTAGGTCCTTTTGGATATAGGACCTTTGAGTGAGCACCCGGTCTAAGAATTAGCTTTTTGTTGAGATATTTTGATGTAATTCAGTTTAGTGTGCCTACCTTTCTAATTAGATTGGATTTTGAGGAGTATTACAGAATACACACACACACACACACACAGAAATTAAAGCATGTGTCAAGATAAATTTTCTAAGGGACACCTGAGAATTGACTTTACTGTGCGTTATAGTTAATAATTTAGATTGTAAAATAAAAATTATATACAAAATGTATGTCTGGTATCAATATGCCACCACATACTTCTGCAAGTAAGTCACATTTTTACACCGGTGTCTGAGGATGGGAGAATACTCCAAGCCATTCAGTTGTAATTTCACAATACATTTACACTGAATGTACTCAAGGAAGAAGCAAAGGGATAAAGTTTCTCAAATTATATAATAATTATAATAATAATAATAATAATAATAATAATAATGATAATATCTTTCTAAAATGTTCTGACTGCAATACAGGAATATATGAACAGATCTTGCACAGAAAAAAAAAAAAAAAAAAAATATATATATATATATATATATATATATATATATTTTTCCAAATGTTGCACCATAACCCTTCCTCCTTAGCCATGCCCCCTCGTGCCAGAAAGTCTTTCTTATCAAACGTATGTACAGTCTCAGCACCAACTGGACTGGGTGATCAGCTTTTAATTCACAACCTGGCTGCAAACAGTCAGAGACACATGAAACAGGTAGGGATATCCTTATTATGCGTCTCCCTGGGTGTCATCTCCTTCTAACACCTTGTTTGTTTTGTAGTTCAGATGATTACCAGTGGCTGAGCTGTGTACGTACATTTCATAAGGAAGCATTTTTCTGATGTGAGGGGGTCTGACTAAAGAGGCAGGCTTATAGCACAGCATTCTGCAAAATACAGTTTTACCAAAAAAAAAAAAAACACGACTTCACCGAGAAGATTTCTACAACCAGGGAAGAAATCTTTGATCTCTCTCCATCCATTATGAATTTTCCCCCTAGCCACACTCCCTCAGCTGTCCTATGCACATTTGCACCCGCTACAGCAGAAGAGGTTTCTGCTCTGCTCCGTTCCCCCGCCCCACCACCTGTTCCCTTGATCCTATTCCCTCAAATCTCATCCGCACTGTCTCCTACTAAAATTTTCAATCTCTCTCTCTCATCTGGTACATTTCCTCTACCCTTCCAACATGCAACCTTAACCCCAATTCTGAAAAAGCCCAACCTTGACCCAAATTCCCCGTCCAGCTACCGCCCTATCTCGCTACTGCCGTTTGTCTCCATGAACCTCGAGAGAGTTGTGTATGCAAGTTTGACAGACTTCCCCGAATCCAACTCTCTGCTGGACCTGCTTCAATCTGCATTCTGCGCTCCTCACTCTGTTGAAACAGCTGTGGCCAAAGTATATAATGATGTTATCACTGCAAAATCCCATGGCCACTACTCTATCCTAATTATCATCTACCTTTCTGCTGCTTTTGACATCAACAGCTTCTTCTCATCCTTAGTAATCTCGGTCCATGAGATACCACTCTCTCCTGGTGCTCTTCTTACCTCTCCCAGAACTCATTCAGTGTTTCTTTCTTTTGCTCTGCCTCTTCTCCCCAATTCCTCTCTGTTGGTGTTCCCCAAAGGTCTGTCCTTGGTCCCCTACACTGCCTCCCTTTGTAAACTCATCAGCTCTTTTGGGTTCCAGTATCATTTCTATGCAAATTTATCTATTCTCCCGAAATTTCTCACCACCCCTCTTGACTCGTGTCTCGGACTGCTTCACTGTTATTTCCAACTGGATGGCTGCTCATTTCCTTAAACTGCACCTATCCAAAACAGAACTTCTGGTCTTCCATCCCTCAAGTGTTGCTACTCCCTTGTCTGGGTCCCTCCAAATCAATAGCGCTACCATCCGCACTACCTCTAAGCTCGCTGCCTAGGTGTTCTCTTTGAATCCGACCTCTCCTTTACCCCTCATGTCCAATCAATCGCCAAATCCTGACGCTTCCATCTCAAAAACATTGCGAGCACCTGAACATATTAAACGCCTGATGCGGCAAAGGTGCTTGTCCATGCTACTGTTCTCTCTCACCTTGACTACTGTAATCTGCTTTTCAGTGGTCTTATGTTTTCCCAACTTGCCCTGTTACAGTCTATAATGAATGCAGCAGCGAGGCTCATCTTTCTGTCCGCCTGCACGTCCCACGTCTCCTCCCTTTGTCAATTTTAGATCCTGACATTTGTTTACTGTAAAATCTGGCTGGAATCGTCAATGTTAAATCTTCTTAATTTCTTCTTGTCTTCAGTTGATTGATATATCTATATATATATATATATATACACACACACACACACACACACACACACACGTTTTTTGTATAAATAGTCTTGGGCCAAATGCTTGCAACATTAATATATGTCTATATTAATGAAAAGTACTAATACGCAATCTGACTTACGGTTTCTTCGGGTTTATTCTTAGTTACGGATACATAATAAAACAACAAATGATGTTACAGGATAATGGGTCTCAACAGCAGATGGTAATTGCTGGACTCCTGAAGGGAGAGTTACATCGTTGTACAGGAAAGAGAGCCAAGAGCGCGAGAGACCTAGTGTTCAGTTACTATATAGATATTACCATAATGACGTCAGGCTATAACTCTAGCCATATAAGGACAAAACCCCCAACTTACATTCCAGAGCTCTCATACAAGAAAACCTTGTGACTTAAACCATCTGTTACTTATGTCAATCCAGACATCCATATATAATCAATAGAAACATAGAATATGCAATATTCTACATTCCCTCTGTTTATGGTTTGTTTTAAAACCATAACACAATGTCACTAACCTGTCCATTCATACATCACTTGTATCACATTCATTGAGCATAGAACAAGATGTAGTCACAACTTTCTATTATATGAGAGTTCTTAGAAGGTCGAGTTTCTATCCCTCATACTGCTTACTTTACTTCAAAACTCCCTCTGTTTCAGCTATGTATTGATATCCATATCCATGTTACATCATAACTACTTGAACATAATATATACATATATATAACAATAATAAATGAATAAAATAAAATATTTACAAATGTTGATCCAATAAACAATGTAAAGCAATGAGAAAGATCAACCTGCTCAGGTACAGTCATGTGACTCATGTGTTTGTAGACAACAAAATCAAGATCGTAACTTTCTAAATAATAACTGTGTATCACTATCATACTCCTACAGATACATATAGCATAGTATTTTCATTCTCAATACCTGATATTACTTAAAGGAAAACTCCAGTGCCAGAAAAACAATGTGTTTTCCTGGCACTGCAGGTACCCTCTCCCTCCCACCACCCATCCCAGGTAGCTGAAGGGGTGAAAACCCCTTCAGGCCAATTACCGGAGACCCCGCCAATGTCCCTCGGCAGTGGTTTCGGGTTGGCGTCGCTCCTCCCAGTAATCACGTCAGCCGGTGGGCGAGACTGACCCCGCCCGCCGGCTGAGGAAACCTAATGCACATGCGCGGCAATGCTGCGCACGCGCATTAGGTCTCCCCATAGGAAAGCATTGAAAAATATTTTCAATGCTTTCCTATGGGGAATTGAGCGACGCTGGAGGATTGAAAATATTTTCAATGCTTTCCTATGGGGAATTGAGCGACGCTCTAGCAAAGAAAATCTTTGCTATGAATCAGGAATTGCTCTCTAGTGGCTGTCTAGTAGAAAGCCAAGAGCCAAGAGAGCGAGAGACCTCGTGTTCAGTAACTATATAGATATTACCATAATGACGTCTACTAGACAGCCACTAGAGGTGGAGTTAACCCTGCAATGTAATTATTGCAGTTTATAAAAAAACTGCAATAATTACAGTTGCAGGGTTAAGGGTAGCGGAAGTTGGCACCCAGACCACTCCAATGGGCAGAAGTGGTCTGGGTGCCTAGAGTGTCCCTTTATGTACTAATACATGTATTTCTATAATATACGTCCACTTATATTTCCATGAATCATATGTTTTCTAGTAACTTAAAATCTTTAGGTCATTTGTATTCATGAATTACATCCCTATACCATTAATACCATCTAGTGATAAATGTATCAGTACTTTACAATCATAGTATCAACACTACTTATAAGACTCATTCAAAGGATGTGTTATCAACCAATAATTCTTCAAATAATGTTCATGGTGTTAACAATGCTTATTGTTGTAGAAATTAATTTAAATTCATTATCATCACTCTCCTCATTATACCTTCATTGTGATGACTTATTAATGTAATACATCTTAACATAAAAGTAGGATTGTCCTAATGTTACCCAAACATTGGTTTTGACCAATCCGTATTCCTTAGTACACTTCAACTGACTAAACTAAAATAAAATAAACTTGGGGTCATACTGCCCAGAAACTCTTATTCCTAGTCTGTATCTAAAAAAACTCAGGGTAATCATAAAACAACTTATAACAACTTATTCATTGGATATCGTCATATCCAGAAACCTATTCTCCCTAGCCCATACCTTTATAGACTTAGGTCAAATATAATTGTGTACTAAAGTCAATTCAATTCCTCTTGGATCTCTGAACTCTTATATCCAATGCATTCTTAATGTGTATAATTACTTTATATTAATCAATATAAATTATCCTTCCTTAGTTTTCTTCGTTTAGTTACCATAGTTTGTTTTATTTCACCTCGATATAAACAAATTATTTATTCTAGTGAATCTATGAAATACTATTGCACTCAATCTTTGTAGTATTAAGTAACCATGATCCTTATTTTATCAACTTCATATTTTATCTACTTCTGATAATGTAATAGTTCTCTTCATAATACTATCTTTTCATAGTTTTAGTCCATGTGTTACACATTTATAAGTGCTCTCTTTTGGTATTAATACACTCATAACTGTTAAATAACTTTTCATTGTCTGTTTTCTTCTTCGTTAATATTTAGGAATTGATATGTATGTTAGTGTCAATCTTTTATTTCTTTGTAAGTCTGTTAATCTTCTGTATCAACTGAAACTCAATAGAATCTTCCATCACAGTTTGCAGATCAGATGAAAAGTCTCTTTCCAACAGTCGATGTCCAGTTGTCTGAAGTGCTTTCCTGATTTATTGCCACATGGATCTGTCACGCTTTACCAGATCAGTTATTTCTGTTTATTTCGTTGCTTCATCCACACAGCTGCGCAGTTCTGGGCTTGAATCTGGATGATTGCCAATCTCTGCCACGTGCCTGCTTCTAGCATTCACATTGTATCTTGTGCTTTCTGTCTCAGTTGTAGAAAATAGTCTTGTACAGTCTTTGTGATTTGAAAACAATTTTTCTTACAAACCACAGTTCTTCTGTGACAGTCTAGATTCTTTTTTCTCTTCAAATTTGTTTTCCCAGTTCCAAAACAGCTTTGTAACTCGATTCTTCTCTCTCTCCCCTTGAAGTGGGAACAAAACTTGAATAGAAGACTGGCTGGCTAGCCAATGTAAGATCTGGCTGGAATCATCAATGTTAAATCTTCTTAATTTCTTCTTGTCTTCAGTTGATTGTTATTACACGTTTTTTGTATATATAGCCAAATGCTCGAACATTAAAGTATCTCTATATTAATTAAAAGTACTAACACGCAATCTGACTTACGGTTTCTTCAGGTTTATTCTTAGTTACGGATACATAGTAAAACAACAAAGAATGTTACAGGATAAAGTATTTCAACAGCAGATGGTAAATGCTGGACTCCTACAGGAAAGAAAACCAAGAGCCAACAGAGTGAGAGACCTCGTGTTCAGTAACTATATAGATATTACCATAATGACGTCAGGCTATAACTCTAGCCATATAAGGACAAAACCCCCAACTTACATTCCAGAGCTCTAATACAAGAAAACCTTGTGAGTTATTGATACCATCTGTTACGTATGCCAATCCAGACATCCATATATAAAATCAATAGAAACATAGAATATGCCATATTCTACACAATGCTGCTCCGACCTACTTATCCTCACTAATACACAAATATGTCCCGTCTAGGCCCCTACACTCTGCTGAAGACCTACGTCTAACCTCTGTTCGTACTCCTACCTCTAATGCTCACCTTAACCCCTTAAGGACAGAGCTTCAAAAGCTTGTCTTTCACTTAATGACAACAGCATTTTTTTCATTTTTTGCTGTTTGCGTTCAACTGCAATTTGCATTTTACTAATTTGTTGCACCAACACAGATTATACATCGTTTTTTTAAAGGACAGAAAGGGATTTAATTTGACGTAACACATATATATAAATGCTATAAATGCTTATTTATTATAAAAAAATACAGAAAAATGTAAAAAAAAAAAAATGAAAATTTTGTGGTTTTTTTTACAGTTTTTGCAATAATGTGTGCATAATTAGTGCAGGTTAAGAAAAGTAATTAAAAATAAATTAATTTAGTTGTTCTGATTTACAGAATATATAATGTGTCTGGGATTTTAAGTTGTTTTTGGTAGTTACAGGTCACAAAGCACAAGGAGTAAAATAGACTTTTAATGTGGAGCGATTTTAGAATTTGGTATGTTTGTCTTGTAAGCTTAATAGCCATAAAAGAAAACAAAATTGCCACACAAAAGTATATATTTATATAAAGTAGACATCACGGGCTATTTACCTAAGGTTGTTTTGACACTTTCTACATTTCACCGCCAATCTCTGCTAAATATTGGAGTAAAATGGTGGTTTTTTTTTGTTTTTGGCACACAAACTTATAACAAAGAAATTCTCGTGTATATTTTGTAAAGTTGGTGTGTGCTATTCCTGTACAAAGTTTTATTTTGTGTTCAGTTACATCTGCTGAGTAAAATGACACCCCATTGTATGTCTTTTGCACTATTTCGTGAAGTTACAGTGCCATACAGGATACCTGTCCTTTTCAGTATTCACAGTAGAATTTTGAGAGATGGATTTAATGAGCCTTAGCTTCCATTTGGGGTATTATACCAGTTTGACTGTTCAAAAAAAACCCCACAAAGGTCTACCATTTGTAAAAGTAGACACTCCAGGGTATCTCATAAGGTGCATATTGTGCCTTAACATGCCCCCATTTTTTCACCAATATATGCCAAAGTATGTGGTAAAAAATAATTTTGTGCATTTTTTACATATGGATTGCATTTTTGCTGGGCGTTTTGTATATTTCATATGTGCCACTAAGTTCAAACCTCCCAAATTATGCTCAGCTAAGTCTTCTGAGTAAAAAGACACCCCCAATGAATGTCTTTGGCACTATTTCGTGAAGCTACAGTGCCATATAGGAGACCAAGCCATATCCGTTTTTACCAGACTTTGAATTTTGACGCTGGGCCTATGTGCAATTTCCAAGCATCTTCGCAGGTTTTAAATTCAAACTACCCCACAAAGGCCTACCATTTTTTAAAGTAGACACCCCAGGGTGTTTCAAAAGGTATATTTTGAACCTTAGCGTGGGATCATTTTTCCGCTAGCTTGTACCAGATGTAGTGGTAATAAGCGTTTTTTCTGCCTTTTTGACATACAAAGTGAGTTTGCACAGTATATTTTGCAAACATTATGTGTGCTACGACTGTATAATACTTCATATGTTGCTCAGCTATGTCGGCTGAGTACAGCAATACCCCCATATGTACCTTTGCCAGGTATATGCGGATGTTGAAGGGGCGCATTTGAGACGCAGACATTCAGTTTTTTTCTAACTTTGAAGTTTTACGCTGTGTCCATGTTCCAATTTGGAGTAGTTTAGACGGTTGGTTATTGAAACTTCCCCACAAACACATACTATTTATTAAAGAATACACTCTGGGGTAATTCAAAAGGCATATTTTGAACCTTGGCGTGGGATAATTTTTTCTCTAGTTTGTTCCAGGTGTAGTGGTAATGAGCATTTTTAAAATGTATTTTTTTACTTTTTTAACTTTTTTACTTTTAAAAACTAGTTTTTAAACTTTTGTTTTGCTTATTAATTTTTTTTAAACTTTCCTAAACTTTCTTAAAACTTTTTTTTACAGATTTAACATTTTTCTAAGCTTTTTTTTTTACCGTTAACCCCTAACTAGCAGTAAGCAGCACTAACAGTAAATTCCCCATTTTCCCATAACTCCCACCCACCCCAGGTAGCAAAATATATAGTTATAAAATATTTAAATTAATTAAATAAATTGAACCCCTGGGGGTTAAAAAATAAATAAAAGTTAATCCTCAGGGGTTAAAAAAAATTAGATCACAGTATAATACTGTGATCTGTATTTGATCGCTGTAGGCAGTGATCGACTGGCAGGGAACGGGTTAATTTTTATTTGGACTAGGTAAAGGGGGGTGTTTTTTGTATTTTTTACTTAAACGTTATTAAAACTTTTTTTAAGCTTAAATTTTAACTTTTTAAAGTTTATTTTAAAACTTTTAACGTTAACCCCTAGTTAGCCTAACACCAAATCCCCCAATTCCCCACTAACTTCCACCCACTCCAGCTAGCTAAATATATAATTTTAAAATATTTTAATTAATTAAATAAATTTAACCCCTGAGGGTTAAAAAAAAAGAAAAAAAAAAAAAAGAATTAACCCTCAGGGGTTAAAAAAAAATAAAAAATCAGATCATAGTAA